ACATGTGGTCGTAGGGAGGGGGACTCTCCCTCCAAGCAATAGCCACCTCCCTGTCCTCCATGCCAGAATGGTATTTAAATTGAACCTTATGGGAAAATTTGCTTCAGGTTGCGACCAATTCGGGGTGCGACCAGAGTCATGGAACAAATTAAGTTCGTAAACTGAGGTTCCACTGTAGTTACAATCATGGATTCATAGACTGCTTCAGTTGGAAGTGATCTTAGAGATCGTAGGAATCCTTCAAATCAATCCTGTCTGAAAACCTTTTAACTGATTATGTGCCATCAAGTCCTTGTTGACTCTTAGTGACCACATAAATAGATCTTCTCCAGGATGACCTGTCCCTAACCTGGTTCTTCAGCTCTTCCAACAGTGCCCCCATTGCTACTGTCTATCAACCTTGCTGCTGGGCATAGTCTTCTCTTTCCTTCCACCTTTCCTAGCATTAGAGCCTTTTCCAGAGAGCTGGATCTTTGCATAATGTGTCCGAAGTAGGATAATCTGAGCCTGGTCATTTGTGCCTCGAGTCTGGGTTGATTTGTTTCATGATCCACTGGTTTGCTTTCTCGGCTGCCCACGGTATTCTCAGGAGTCTTCTCCAACACCAAAGTTCAAAAGCATCAATGCTCTTCCTATCCTGCTTCTTCAAAGTCCAACTTTGTTTCCATAGAGCATCACAGGGAATCCCATGGCTTGCACGATTCTGACCTTTGTAGGTATAGACATGTCACGGCATCTGAATATCTTTTCCAAGGCCTTCGTGGCTGCTCTACCGAGTGCTAGTCTGCAGCATATTTCTTGACTGCTTTTTCTTTACTGTTGGTGGTTGACCCTGAAAGGCAGAAGCTGTCCACCACTTCGATATCTTCATTGTCAATTCTAAGTTCTGGTTGTTCTACTTGTTATCATTAGTTGGTCTTTTTTATATTTAATTTTAATCCCATTTCTTTCCTTGACTTTTATTACTAGAGCCTGCAGATCCTTTGCATTTTCAGCTATCAGGGTAGTATCATCAACATAACACAGGTTATTGATGTTTCTTCCTCCAGTTTTAAAACCTGCCATGGCCCAGGACAGACTCTGACTCCGAAGAGGCTGCTCCAGCTGAACCACTGGAATGTCAGCCTCAGGAGATACCAAGCCAGCAATCACCTGAGGCTGATCCAACACAGGCACCATCACAACAGCTGGAGCAGCCAGATGATGAGGCACGGCCTTCAAGCCCTCAGACTTGATGAGCAGAGTGGAGAGCAGAGCAAAGACATTCAGTGAGGCTCCTTGCCAAGCAGGTGAGTAACTAAGAGAGTTAAATTAAAGATCCATGCTTCTCTGATGGAAACAACTGTCTGATCTCCTGCTCAGGCATGTTGTTCCTGTGATTCTGCTTGTGATTCCTGAAACCCTGACCTTTGGACTGGCCGACAAACCTGCCTTTGCTCTCTGAACTCTGGACTGGATTTGACTTTTCTTCTGCATGCCCCTACTGAAAGCGAAACTGCCCAGGCAAGCTTTCTTTCCCAGAGAATCTGTTTTGATTTACATTCCTTTCCTTGTCTGCTGCTATCTACTCAGCCTTGAATACATTGCTATTTGCTCTATAAAGGCTGAATATCACTATAACCCTAACCCAGAGGAAGCAAATGGCTTGGATGCCACTAATGACAACTGCAGTGGAAGGATGGAGGAGGAGCTGAGAACTTTTCTGCCATGACAGATGCCCCTGCCCTGCCTGTGTTCATAGTCAGGCATGCTTAGGGGCACACAACAACCTGTCAAAGGCCAACCTTTAGAAGATGCAATAAACAACAGCCTTTTTTTAACAGAAGAAACCAACTAAGAGTTTGTGGCTCTGGACAAGAGCCTGAATAGATGAGACTCAATTTGCCTTCCTTGTAATCAGATTTTTTCCCCTCACCTGATACCTAAAACTGCAAAATAGAACCTTTAATGCCCATTTCCCAGCTGTGGAAAATGTCTCCCCATAGCAGTGTTGTATCAGTTTGAGTGCACAGCTGTGTGGAGAGGCGATGTTGTGAGGGTTTCTGCTCCCTGCACAAGATGAATTTCAGCCTCCCCCTCCCTCTCCAGTGCCGAGCAGATCTAGTGTGGAGAAGAAAGCAGAGCCTCATCCTGGTCCTGCCATGGACTCACCTCAATCAGGAAGTCTCCTGTGCGCAGTCCTGCTCGCCAAGCCACACCCTCCACATCCACCGATTCCAGGTACTGGAGTGCCGGGAAAGCTGGCGTTGGGGTGAACTCCTCAATGGGAGTTTCCGCTGAAAGAAAGAAGAAAAGAAATTCCAGATCAGAATGAGGGAGCGCCTCTTTGCATGGCTGAAGTGGAGCAGAAGGCTTTTGGCTGGTGGTTCCAGCACTTCTGCCTCACTGCTGGGCCACAGTTGCCTTGGACCTGCTGCCCAGATCACCACAGGCCTCTGTGGACCATTCTCACTTGCTGTAACCCTAAGATTCCAAGGAAGTCAGGGTCCTAGTGAGCAACCGCCCTGCCCCCCTCCCAGGGAGATTCTGAGATGGGGAACCAGCCCCGCAGATGTCACGACAGACACCATTTGCCTCTGAACGGGGCACACACGGAGGACCTGGAATTGGCATTTGAGGCTTATATAAAGAGAGGAAAGGGCAGATTAAGGAGAGGAATCTGGGTGACTCAGCTTCCTTCACGACTTCTGTCTTTTTCTGAAGTTTTATTCAACTTGGGTTATAACAGGCCGGGCTGTAGGAGGACGGGCACGGGAAGGAGTTTAGAGGCCTATGGTCAGACCTGTCCCATTTCTGCTTCAGCCCCACTTCTCCTGCTAATGTGGGAGGACAGCCAAGCCAGAGGCCCCAAGCCATGACCCTGCTTGTCATGTGCTGCATATCCTTCAAAGCAGGATGACACCTTTTGGTAGCTGGTCAGGGCAGAAGTATGGGAAGCTGGAGCAGAAAGACGTATTCCAGATTGCCCACGTCCCCGCTGAGGGCAGCTGGATCACCTTGATGCAGCACCCATTCACTGTCTCACCCACAAGGCTTTCCTTGATGGGCCCCTAACTCATCTGTCAGAGCTTCCCGTATCATGAATGGTTTGCTGGTTAACGGATGAGACTTAGAACTCCCCCCCACACACAAAAAAGATATGCTTTTGCACAGTAAAATCCAGAATCTTTTAGTTAAACTGCTCCAGGCAACAAATACCAGAACCTCCTGTATCAGGGAATAACTAAACCAAAATGTCTACTGAAAAAGGCCCTTGTCAAGCCCCCATCCACCAAGAAAGCTTGGCTCCCATGGAGCCTTACTAGACTTATTGCAAGGCAAAGGGGAATCTTGGAAGCTTATATGTGCTTCCACTCATTGGTAAGTAATGAAGTTGGGGCCTCTGATCCTTCAGGTCGCCAGGAAGAAGGATCCCACAGATGGAAATCCTGAAGGGAAAAACAGTTCAGGAGAGTTAGGGGGGAGTTCTGAAAAATGAGCCAATTAGGGCCCAAACACAAACCAACCAAAGAGAAAGAAAAGTAGGCGTCAACGGATGAGATGGTGGAACTGCACCACGAGTTTTCCACTAAACTAAGAAACAAAAGTTTAAAAAACGGAAAGAGGGGCACATAATGAAAGCAGAATATCAGGGAATATGCCAGACGGGGTTAGCAAAACTAAGGCTCGGAATGAGGTAAGTCTCGCCATGAATGCTAAAAGGGGTTCTTTGGGTGTGTGCGGAACAAGAGGAACGTCAAGAAAGCAGTCAGTCGGCTGGCTGCAGAAGATGGCAAGATGGTGACAGGCCACAGGGAGAAGGCTGAACTGTTTAGTTCCTCTTCTGCATCGGTCTTTTTGCAAAAGGAGAAAGTGGTCCAGCCTGTCAGAAGGTGCACTATATGCGGCAGAAGAGAAACGCAGGTCACACAGGCAAGGAAGTGGCGAGAGAACCCCCAGCTCCTTGGAATGAATTCAAGCCATGGGGGCCAGATGGATTGCACCCCAGGAGGTGAAAGGAGCTGGCGCACACAATCTCACAACCACTAACTGTAATTCTTGAGAACTCTGAGAGTGCAGGGGAAGCGCAAGAAGACTTAACTTAGAGCTCACATGGTTCCAGTCTTTAAAAAAGGGAAAAAAACTCGAATCCAGGAAACTATAGACAGGTCAGCTTGACGCGAATACCTGAAAAATCTTACAAATGATAATCAAGTGGGTTTGCAAGCACTTAGAAAGAATCCAGGTCATCCAGCCAACACAGGTTTGTTAAAAATAGCTCATGCCAGACAAATCTAGCCTCCTTCTTGATAAACTGGAACAATGTGGGATGGATGGTCCCACCGCAAGATGGATTTGCAGTTGGTTGAACAACTGTATGCAACATGTGGTCCTTAGCGGATCTTCATGGAGAGAGGTAGGTGGTGGGGACCCTCAGGGCTCTGTCCTGGTCCCAGACCTCTTCAACGTTTTTAGAAATAACTCTGATGAGGGGATAGAAGGGATGCTCAGCAAATGTACAGATAGAAGTTGGAGGGGAGACTGGTAACACCTCAGAATGCAGGCCCAAAGTTCAAAAGGGTCTTGATAAACTTGAACACAGGGCCTTTTCCAACAGTGATTTGAAATATAGGGTTCTGCACTTATGTATGAAAAATCAGATATATAGCTCCAAGATAGGTGGTACCACTTTGAAACAAGAGAAGAGTCTTGACCTTTTTCTCTGGGACAAAATCAAATTATAGTGGAAGGATTACTTCCCATGATTTGGAAACTAGACTTCTGTTGATGCAGCCTAAAATTGCATGTCTTTTTTGCATGTTTCTTTCCATCTTCAATGCCTTTACAGAAGTTGCTGTAATACTGCTTCTTGTCTCTTCTAAAAGGTCTCTGAAACTCTTTAAGTTCCTTTCTGTCTGCCTTACCAGGTAGGCCAGATAGGAATCAGAACCAGATGAGCTAATTCTACTTTATGGGAAAGCTACATCACTAGAATCTTGCGAGTCTGCAAGTACCAATCTCCCGCCATCTCCTTTACAGCCCGAGAAACTAGGGAGGGCCCCTGCTGCGCCCCTCGCCCCGCCCACTACCCAGCTGCAGACTGCTCCCTAGGCAGCGTCTCTTGGCTCCCGAGGTCTTTCCCACATCCCATTACACTTTTTTGTCTTTCTTGGCTTTGGCTTCTCTTCTCCACAATTTCCAGAGTTTGTTCTGATGTCCAGTTTGCTTTCTTCTGTTTCTTCATTCTTGGCAATCTCTTTTCATGTTCTTCCTTAACTTCTTTAAGTTCATTTGTATAATTCCTCTGGTTCTCTGTCAATGAGATTTAGGACTTCAAAGTGATTCCTGATGTTCCCCTTGAAAATGGTGGGTATATATAAGTTCAAGGTCGTATCATGGAAACTGACTGGCTTTCTTCTTCTTCTTTAGCTTAATTTGGAACCTGCACATGAGCAGTTCATGATCTGTTCCACAGTCAGCACCTGACCATGTCTTTGATGTTATAATTGAGCCCTTCCACCTCCTTTTAGCAATGATATAATCAATTTGATCTCTATATACTCCATTTGGTGGTGACCACGTATAGAGGTGTTGTTTTTGTTGTTTGGAAGTGTTAGTTATGAAGAAATCATTGGAGTGGCAGAAAATGGCAAGTTGGTTTCCTAAGCCATACAATCCAGTTACACTCTCCTCTTTCATGTTGCCAACTTTGGTGTTCCAGTCACCAGTAGCACATCTTGCTTGCATGTTCTGTCGATTTCAAACTGAACTTTATCATAGAAGTCATCACCCTCCTCTTCTTCTGCATCGGTGGTTGGAGCGTATACTTGAATGATCATCATAGTAAAGGGTTGTCCACAAAGTCTAATGATATTCGGTCACTGATTGCATTGTAGCCAAGTGCTGTTCTTGCTATTCCCTTCCTAACTATAAAAGCAATGCT